TAAGCTTTTTTCAAAACAGCTAACTGAAAAAAAGAAAAATTTGATTTATTGCTTTTTTAAATTTGAAATATGCAAAATGAAGGCGAAATATGTTACAAAAAAGCGCTTAGATCTCAATTTAGCTCGAAATTCAAATCAACACTTTCTAAAATCGTATTAACTTCTTTGTTTTTTTGCTCGCTTTTAAATAAATGAATACTAAAAAAAAAATTTTGCTCTTATTGGAAAATTCTTTTTTTATTACTTACAAGTTTAATGACTGTAAATAAAAAGTGCTTTCGAGTGGTAAAGAATGCAATATTTTATGATCGTTGAAATCGAGTAAAAAAAAATTTATAATTTTGATAAATACGAAAAGCTAACACTGTCGAAAACATATCAAAAACGTCAGTTCCCTAAAGATTGATGAAATTGAATATGGAGAATAATTGCTGCCAAATGAGCTTTTTTTACTTTTCTAATCAAAACTCTTTCATTTATTTCTTTTTTTGTAGATTTTTATTAACAATTGAGAATTTTTTATTTAAATTTGAATTTAAATTGCGAATTTTAACAAATCGTATTAATTTGTGCCATTAATACTTTCAAAAATGATGCAAAATGTGACGTCGTCGTTTAAAAGGACAAGCGGAACAAAACTTTTCGAACAACAACGACGTACTGCCGGCAAATTAAATGAACAAATCATGATAATTTTAAAATGAAATTAACCTTTCATCCATTTCAATGATATTGAGGAATTTTGTTTTTCTTTTCTTTATCTCATAATTTCACAATCAACTAAATGGAACACTAAATGATGATATAGTTTTGGTGAAATGATGGAGAATTTCATTTTATTGACCAAGTGATTTGTTAACTATTTATAATGATAAGATATCAAGCAACTCATGTCTGTTGTTCAGATACTTCAACTATGATTAAGTAACTGAGTATGTAAATGAACTGAAAATTAGATCAATGCCTGCTTGGAAAAATAAATTAACAATGGATTGAGCAGACCGAAGTAGTACATATGTATGGCTTTCAATTGATTCAAATTTAATAAAAAACAGGTGATACATTCATCAAGACATTCGTATGTAATATAGCCTGGTTTACTTTAGTTAATTATTGGCCAAGCATTTATATTCAAGCTAAAAACTAGTAGTAACAGATTAGCTTAAATTAAAAAGTGGACAGAGAAGTGATCAGCAAGCATTTCTAATTTATTTTTTATTACAAGATAATTTTAATTTTAAATTTAATCTATAAATTATAGTAATTTGAGTATTTCAAGTAATTCAGCAAATTTTTTCAAAATTAATCGATCATACTATCCATTTAATATTTAAGAAAAATTTTTTTAGTTTGCTTAGGAAATTCTATTGCACACAATTAATGTTTTGTTTAGTATAATAAATTAAGTGTAAAAAAAAATATTTTCAATTTTTCTCGAAATATTATTTAAACTTTGAATTTGAGATGATATGTGTGTTATAGGCAGCAACCAATTCATCTCGTATATCAATCAAAATAGTTTTGAGAGCAAAATTTTAATTTTTATAAGTGGGAAAAGAAAAAATAAGGAAAAAAGACGGAGAGCGGAAGAAGGAGAGAGAAGTGTGGAAACAAAAGCAAATGAATATCTAAAATTGCTGTGTAAAGCGAAAAAACTAAAATATTTAAAAATCTTCGGTCAAAGATGTGTGTACTATGCTTAAAAATTCCATTATTATTGATAGAAAAATTCTGAAGTATCTTCGTTCTCATGGAAACAGCTGAAAATGAAGCAATACGAGGAAGAATAAAAAAAATTTCATTTTTTAGACAACGAAAAAATATAAAATTATCATTTTTATGATTATAAAAATAAAATATATCAAACACATTTAATATAACAAAGATTGCAAACATAATTTATTAGTTTTATAGAATAATTATCATGTATCAATCATCATGTATGATTTTTTTTTTAAATTAAATCTTCAAGTGAATTTCGAATAAAATTTTATTTATAATTATTTAGCAATAAAAAGAAAAGTTCAAGCAAAAAAATAGTATGAAAAAATACAAGATTGAGGAAGAAGGTCATGACCCCGCAGATGCATTCAAATTGCCTTTCAATACTCCACGCGGAGTACCATTATCATTAAATCGAACTCGACTTCGATTACCGTACGATGAGACTGATGATCCGGTATAAAGCTCTGATTCATCCCGAAACACTGGCGGATGTGTGCTAAATACTATCGTTCCCATCGGAATACCAAATCCGCCTGTAAAAAATAACAAATATGAATGATTTGAATCGTAAGTAAAAGTAAGAGTTCTACACTACATTTCGATTGTAGTGTAGAATTTTTGAAAAAATTACAGCATAATGGATAGAATCCGGAATCGTTTACGGATTCGTATAATTGCGGATTGCGTCGTCGATGAAGCCAACATCCGTTGCATAGAAGGCAACATAAGAATGAACAAAGAACACTCAGAATTATACTAACAATCAAACCAATGATCAGTAATGTGTAATCAATCCTGAAATGAACTTTGGTTCAAACTTTAATTCCGCCAGTCATTGTAAATTTAAAGAAAAAACTAGCCACACTTCATTTTGAATCATTTATTTCTTCGAAAAAAATTTATAATCTTATTAGTACGTTTCAGATAATTAGCTGTTAATATTGCATTTCAATTCTTTTTGTCAAAAAATTAACATGCAGTCTGTCACAAAAAAGAATTGAAAATTATCTCAAATTTTTTGTGGAAACGATTTTTTCACTTTTTATACAAATCCGCGTGGCGTATTTGTTCACCAATGATAAGATGGATGTCCAATTTTACTCAATAGCTGATATCGAAATCTAATCAAATTTCAAAAATTGTGTTTGAACGTTCATAGCCTACTGAAAAGTACTGCCATAAGCAATGAAACGTTGTGGTTGATCGTATTCTAAAGTCGTCTCACGAATTATATGATTGTCCTCCAAACCGCAACAGAAATAATCCTGAAAATCTAAATTACTTGAACGAAAATTCCAAATTTAAATTTTGCAAATATTTAACTTTTATAATTCCACTATTGCAAACATTTGAGCTGAAAGAGTTATTGAATTCTAAAGTAGGATAGAACTGTTCATTAAAAATATTGCAGATTTATCAGTGCAACAAACATAATTATATTTCCAATAAAGTTTCTTAATTTTTTGAAGTTCGGAAACAAATTAGTCTTAATTAAATTCTTTCTGTTTTCTGAACAGAAATTAATAAAATTAATTCTGAAGGAAAATTGCTTAGCCTTTAAACTGTTA